GCCATGGCCTCTTTGATGATTCGCCACCGAGCGCTGTCTTTAGGCCTTTACACTCTCGCATGGTGTGCTTGCCATCCTTGTGGATAGGGCATGGGCCGTCTAGTAGTTTGTCGAAATCAGCATCATAGGTGTGCTTGGCATGGGTGTTGATGATGTTGATGAAGTTATCAGGCCGGTGATGGCGGCCTTGTCTGCCTCTCGAGCTATCCAAGCGGTCGTCGCCTCGAGGCTCGCGGTCATCGTGACGGCGGTTGCGATTGTCGTGGTGGTCTTGGTCATCACGGTGGCGATCGCGGTCATTGTAGCGCCTATCATCACGACGGTCATCATCGTGGTGTTGATGGTGAGCAGGCGGGCAGCCTGTTCAGCTTCTTCGGCATCGGCATATCCGTTTGCCATTTGTATCAGTTCGTCGATGGTTGTAGGCCTCTTGTGGTACAACTTGCCACGGAGTTGCTCGTACTGGAGCCCTTTGATGAAGGCAGCGATGGCCTCGGCGTCAGTGATGTTAGGAACATAATTTCTTGTCAACGAGAAGCGCCTGATAAAGTCGCGTAGGGACTCCTCAGGAAACTGATGAAGCTTCTCTAGGTCAAACTTGGTGTCGGGTTGTTCGCACATAGCCATATAATTGTTGTTGAAGGCTTTCTTGAGGTCGTCCGAAGATCGGATGGAGTTCTCCATAGGCTGAGGAGCTAGTTATTCGCAGACTGGTTAAGCATGATGGGTAGATAGTTCGCTATAACGTCTTCGTCTCCGCCTGCAGCTCTCACGGTGATCTCGTATAGAGTTAGCCACTGAGCGGGGTTGGCTTTTCCATCATAGGTGTTAACACCAAGGACCTTGAAACCCACAGGCCACTAGATAGCTCGGAGCCTTTCCGTGAAGGGGCGAAGTCCTGATGCGCCGGCGGGAAGTGGGGCTTGACGGGGCAGCAAATCCCTCATGTTCGGCGTCGAATTGTCGGCGACGCTCCATCTCTGCGTCGTAGCGTGCGGCCCTACTATTTTTGATGCGGCTGTGGACATCTGTGCCGACGTTGATGTGGTCATGAAGGTCGCGAGAGAGGGGTTGATTAACCTCCTAGTTGCGGTTGCCGCCCCGACCTCCCTAGGGGTGAGGTGGGCGGCCGTCGTGGCGTGAATGAGCTTCATAGTTGCCTCTGGATCCTCTATGGAGGTAGGGACCTCCAGCCTGAGGTCAGGGGCCATCGGCACCGTGATGCTGGCATCCTCCGTCGCGATGAGAGTGGTGGCTATGAGCTGATGCGGTGGAATAAGACGGGGCGTCGTTCCAGAACTCGTTAACTTGGACTTGCGCTGCTATGATATGTGCTTGAACCTTCTCGACCTCTGGAGTGTGAGGGGGTTTGTCGAGCTCGTTGAACGCGACAGCTAGATTAGCGCTTGGAGTTTGGTAGACTGTCTGGTCACCCACCATGTCGAATGCCTCCTCTAGATTGCGTTGATGGCGGGACGAACCGCGACCATCCTCGTGGGCCCCTTGGGCTACTTCTGCATCTCGGCGATGTTGGCGGTCGGCGTTCTTCACCAGACGAGCCTCGCGCTATTCAGTGGTTTCGGCGTCTTTGGTGACGCTATCGTGGCTGATGTGGAAAATCACGGCCCTAAACCCCGGAGGGAAAGCATGGCAGCTTGGCACGGTCTGGGTTGAGCCCTCGAAATAATCGTCGGGGCTCTTGTTCAAAACATTATGAAGAGATTCGGTCGGGAGAGAGGGATCATCTGAAAGCTAGCGGACAGCCACCATGTTGACCACAGGCGCGGGCTGACCGGAGTTAGTCGGGTTGATCATGTAGAGGCCGGTGATGTGCTCGCGCTCGACGTGGTCGACAAAGAGGTGGTGGATGGAGTTCTGGTACGCAGGTCCTGCACCCTCCAACCCAAAAAGATAGGGCTTCGGCGGATCCTCCATCGGGGCCTCGTAGTTGGCCAAACGTAGGCCGGTAGCGGGAAGTGGTCGGTGCCGCACCGTGTGTCCCTCTGGAGTGGCCGTGATCACCAGATCGGAATCTAGTCGCCTTGAACGGTGTGGCCGAGCAGGTCGCTCGGTTGCAGCGGCTTGGTGATCTTGGAGTACGGGAAAATCATCGCTCGCTCTAGATTGATATGAGATCGGAACCACGAGGAGCTGACATTTCGCTAAGTGGTCTGTGACCCGATTGATGGATGCGATCGGATCATCATTGCTGATGGATCTCCTAACCTAGCGGCGGGGCGTCGGGATCGGAGATGTCGTTGAAGGTGTTGACGCGATCGATGTAGGGTGATCCTGCACTGCCTCCACGATCTCCCCGTTGCCGTTGGGGCCGATGACCCATGTCATGGATCCGATCATGAAGATCTGGCCCGGCTCGGGGAAGGCCATGAAGCATGGGAAGATGACCATCTGGTTCACTATGAATTCAGCACGCACACCCCCTACCTGGCGCACCACTGTCGATAAATTATGTCCGGCAGCCTACCGAGGGATATGCCTACGATAGTAGGTGAATCGGTGAAGGTGCACGTGAGGGAACCGGATGGTGGCACAGAGCACAAGAGACAACTATTAGACAGGTTCGGGCCGTCAGCTTGACGTAAAACCCTACGTCCTGTGTCTTTGTGGATTGTATTGCGTATGATCAGATGAAAACGAGGGGTCCCTACCCGCCTTATATAGCTCGGGGGTAAGGTTATAGATCGGTTGTTTCTATCACGATCGGTTTTACAAGATAGGAAGTTATAGATATTACGGGATCTGGTGTATCCGTGCTGGTCTCCTAGATCACCGGAAATCTTCATGCAATCTTGCGAGGCACGCCGACCGGTATCGTGCCTTGTACGGTGTGGTCTCGTGGGCTGGGCCTCCACCAGTGGCGTGGCCCAGGCGCAATCTTATGGGCCAAGCCTCCCCTAGCGGCTCGGCCCATGCACAACCCTGCTGGTATCGAGGGTTATACCCCCCCCCCTCCCCAATCCACCCTGTCGTGGAGCCTTTGGAGCCCCCATGAAGTTTGTGCCATAAATTACTGCATAGGACAGCGGTGGCGACTGCGCCGCTTGCATAGCAAGCACTTTGAAGGCCTAACCAAAGTTGATAAACGCTTCACCTAGATGGTCAAACCTGCACCGCAGCTGGCACAGGCTTCCAACATTTTGTAACATTCACAACCGCTAGGTACCAGTGAAATTTCTTAATATTAATTGAAAGTAACACCTGCACTAATAGAGTTTTATCTAATTTTTTTCTATCTTTAAATTAACAAAATTAACATATGCATGATATTATATATATAATAATTATGGCAGCGACAAGTTTAACATATCAGCGTGTAATACTTTTCGACCATTGTATCAACTACGTCATCTTTGTAGTTCAATAGCACCTTAGGGTCTCCTTCACGTTTTAACAAGTTGAAAATAAATGTATTTTCTAAATAAACATCTCTACCTTCTCTATGTTGAAGGTGTTGTTCTTGCCGGATACAATGAATATAAGCACTTCGGACCTGAAATTTTTTAACTTGACAGTAAAAAACTTAACGTAGATATTTGGTATACATCAATCAACGCAAAAGACAGTAATAAACATACTTACAACGTTATTCACTTGCTCGTCGTCACAAAAAAGACAATCAATGTCATCTCTGTTTACCCAATTATTATCAATGTTGACATGTTTTTCTGGTGTTGCTTTTATGTATTCAATTATATCAGCATCTTCAATACACTCATAATCTACGGAGAAATTATTTTTATTATTTTATTCCCAAATAAATAAAGAATATACAATTGAAGACCACTAACTTTGAGGTAGGACTTTTGTATTGTTTGACTTCTTATGTTTATTATGTCGGGATGATGTCTTCATATGTGTGTTAAGACTATCGACTTCACATCCATGGCCATCTCACCGACGCAGAGCCTCTCTACAATCCTGGTGCCAGCGCCGAGGACCTGACGATAGGGACGATGCCCGCGAGCTCGGCTGACGCAGAGAAGATGAATGAGAAGATGAAGCGGCAGTACGAGGAAGGACATCAACAACCAGCGTCAGGACACGAGGGAAGGAAGATGTTTTCCTGCGGCGCGATTGAGGGGCTTTCTGTATTTGCCTGAGGGACGCGGCGTCCGCGCTGCCTGCTGCGATCGTCGTGCTCTGCGCAGGGTGTTTCCGATTTTGAACGTGCGTGATTGCGCTCAAGATTGGCTCCCAAAGCACAAAGCATGCAGGAGAAAAGAGAGGAAAGCCTGCCATGCACATGCAGATGAAAATTTTGGTGTATTATGGAGGGGTAGAGATCCTCTGCCTGGTTTGAGCTAAACTTGGTTTCATTTTTCAGCTAATGCAACATAATTTTCTTTGGGAGCATGAGCTCATACCCTTGATGTGTTTAATTAATCGCTCTGGTTCCAATCAGAGCATTTTTGACATAAGTACGTAGTTAGGAAATACCCATCCTCGCAGCAACCCCGATTTTTGGATGTCCCTTTCCCAAGCCCGGTAGGCCAGCAGCACTACTGACTGTCCAATTGGATGAAGTAATAGCAAAGCTACAAACGCAATTCATTTAGCACAAGCACACTCTAGATTTGACCGCGTTCAGTAATCACAGGCAGTAATTCAACATCACAGCTCAGGACTCCAAAACCATACCCTCCATCCATTTAGCACTAATCTAGTGCTAATGAATGTTTAGCATCAGAGAATACATGCACGCATGCCTGGGTTTCGATTTCTTCCAGCCCTACCTATGCCTACACTGAACTGCCTACGCTGAACAAACTGAGAAATACAAGGGAGCTCTTCTAACATCATACGCTCCCCCGGCTAGGCAGAGCGCTTCAACAAGCCTCTCATGGTTGATGGTTCTCAGCTCCATCGCCCTAGCTACAACTTCCACCCCCAGAGCTAGCACTAATATCACTTGCAACAGAAGGAACGCTGCTACTACTACTACTACTACTAGTCTACTACCACCACAAGCCAGCCTTTCCTTAGTTATCTAGGCCCAACATCATCCGGAGCTCTTCGACGCGCATCTCCTTATCATCCTTGCTTCCCTTCTTCCCAAATGCACTGCTGATCAGCCGCTTCTTCCTCTCCTGCATGGCCAGTATCCTCTCCTCGATGCTGCCCTTCACGATGAGCCTTATCACCTTCACTTCTTTCTTCTGTCCGATCCGGTGCACCCTGTCCATGGCTTGCTCCTCTACCCCAGGGTTCCACCACGGGTCAAACAGGTACACAGTCGAGGCAGCTGTGAGGTTCACGCCGGCTCCCGCGGCTTTCAAGCTGGCCAGTAGCACAGTTGGGGAGTCAGGGCCACCGTGAGTGAATTCTTGGATGACTTGCAGCCTCTTCTTTGCGCTCATTGAGCCGTCGAGACGTAGTGTCTTAAAGCCTGCCTTCCTGAGGGGAGCTTCCAGCAAGATCAGCATCTGCTTGAACTGACTAAAAACAACAGACTTCAACCAGGGGTCTTCACTCTGTGAAGCCTTCAGCAGCTTCAGCAATGCTTGAACCTTGGAGGAGAGGGGCCTGTCAGACTCAAGATTGCTTGATCCATCTTCATCAGGATGCTTTACCTCTGGAGCAAGGAAGAGGTCCTCTTTGGATAAGGTGCGCCTGCATATTGGACAGCGGGAACTGGAGCTCTTGAGGATTTTCAGGATGCAGGTTTGGCAGTATATGTGAGTGCAGCTGGTTATGATAGTTTTAGTTGGTGGACAGAGGCAAATCGGACAGTCAAAGTCATCTCCATCGTCAACCAATGAGGCCAGTTTCTTCAACAGCTCTGGATTTTTGGACACGTCTGCATGAAGGCATATCGAAGTGAAAGATGAACACCACATCAGGTTGTAATGATCATGCAAAAGGATAAGAAAATCTAACCTGTTAAAAATTATAAATTTATTCTCTCCCCATTTTTCCCAGAATTTTAGTTCATATCTCAAGAACACAATGATTAGCCATTAACTCATTATACATTCAAGCACTTCTCGCTAATCAACCTAGGATTTCATTAAGCATTGATAACCTAAGCTAATCACTAGATCTGACTGAGTAACAGGTATGAACCATATAAAGGAAACATTTCATATTCCGGCCTATTGTGTATATAAGGATTTCAGGATTCTTAATGGTCAAATTTTATAACTTTGACTATCAATACATAAAGAGTCAGATTGGTTGACAATATAAGATTGATGTTACCAGATTAATCATGAAAAATACACATTGTAGACCATATTTCTATAGAAACTGTTAGTTAACGATCTAAGTTGTAGACCATTCCAATGTCCGAAATTATTTAAATTTGTGGTAGTAGGAGTATTCTACTATGATTAAATGTACATTAAAATTTTAGTTAACAATTAGTAGGCCTGATAATACATAACGATTTTTTTTTCTAAAGGAATAAAGGAATGAAACTTATTACTGATGATGTCCTTACAACATGAAAGGTCCTTTTTTCCCCAGAAAGCAGAGCTGCTATCTAACTTGGCTGAGCTGATAGCATAATGACATTTCTTGGCAATGTGGTGTCTTAGAACAAGAGTAATCCGACAGTATTGAACTCTTGTAGAAAACAATTTGAAGGCACATGCAAAGATCTAAGGCCTCTTTGAAGAACGACAGGATTTTGCACAGTGCAATAACATATGACCAGTGTTGGTGAATAAAATGAGTTTATTTCTTTCTCTAATATAATTCCCTGACACTTTATACATGCTAAACATCCACTCCAAAGAGAGACATAAGTTTAATCAAATTAAGCATAAAACCAATTAGTATCATTTGTTAAGCTTGAACGGGTAAACTAAAATGAATTACTACTTGCCATTTCTTTGTAAATAAAATAAGATACAACTCCTTTCTGAAAAAAAGTAACATAATACTTCATTAAATTAGGCAGATGAAAACTAACATAATACTATTCGCAATGCCTGACACATTATATTTTTTAAATAAGAAGTCCATCCATTTTGAGTTAGCACATCTCAACTATCAAGTTGGGCAGATGAAAAGCTTGCTATGGCCATACAATATCTTGGTCACAAAATGTCAGAGTTAAAATAAAAGGAAAAAAAGGCATACCTTCGATAGAGTTTGCAGGAAACCATGCTTTCATGTCTAAAGGACACAATGCAACATCATCACAGAGCTGGCGGAGCCTCAGAATGAAATAAAGCACAGTTGAGTAATTACTCAAAATCGAATCCCTGTCACCAAATTCCTGCATTTTGTTTCTCCCTTCCTGTTCCATCTGATCATAGTATTCACGCTCCTCTGCAGAAAGATCAATATAACATGCCAAAACAGTTTTGGAGGGAAGGTCAACCATGCTCTTGGTTCCAATGTCTATGTCTTTGATTCTGCGCAGTGAAATAGCGCCTAGGAGGTTCTGGAATAAGCAAACAAAAGAAATTCAAAATTTGTGTGAAAGATAAGCAATTTTTTTAGATCACTTTGAACGTGCATTGTTTCAAACACCAAATTGACAAATTAAAGCAGACCAGTGTGTCATGTTCTTTTTTACTGCATGTTGTACCATGTTGGAATTAGATATAAATAATATAATACTAATTATATATGTGGAAGCAAATTGTGATGGCAGCTGCCAAATAATATTTGAGTTCAAAGCATACACCACACAACACAACAGCATACACAGACTGTATGACTTCCTACCACTAAAATAGAATGAGTTACACAGATAAGTAGATAACTGTACTATCAGGTTTGCAGTTAGCTCCTTTTAGGCTTTTACCATTCAAGAGCATTTGATGCAGCTACCCATAATTTCTAGTCCCTAGATCTTTACAGTTGTACAATGATAAAGATGGCCAATACAGTGAGAATTAATTAAGAAGAAAGGAAAATTCAATAACTTACTTGCAACCGTGACAAACCAGTCTTATTCCCTTTCTCTAAGGGTTGCTGGATCAAGTTCTGCCAGTAGCTCTTGATTGAGAAAGGCTGGAATCTCAAAAATGCCATGAGGGGGTATAAATCAAATGAGCTGTTCTGAATGGGTGTCCCAGTGACCACCCACCGCCTCTCTGCATTCAAAGCAATGACCGCCTTCGTCTGCCGTGCTGCAGAATTCTTGATCACATGTGCTTCATCTAGAATCACACGAAACCATTCAATATCCTTCACCGGTGAGTCCTCCTGCCCAAATTCTGTCCCCAAGATGCTGTAAGTGGTAAGAACGAGATCATACTTCAACAGCTCCTTCTTATCTCTCGTCCGCTCGCCATGGTACATGTAAACTTTCAGGCTGCCTGCTTTTAAGTGCTCCTCCAGCTGTGTCACCCAAGATGAGAACACTGACAGTGGACACACGACAAGTGTGCTCCGCGATCCCTCCCCTGCATCCTCGACCTTCCTCCGCTTGCCCCCTCTAGCCTTCTTCACACCCACATTGCGAGCTTTAGTCCTCCCGATCAATGACAGGAGCGTAAGCGTCTTCCCTAGCCCCATATCATCAGCAAAGATCCCGCCCTTTAGCGGCGGCGGCCGTTTCTCCGTCTTCTGATTGGTGAGCACGTTCTCGAATCCCCCATCTTCACCTTCTTGCCAGAAGGGCGGCAGGTCGTCGGACTCCTCCCGGTGCACCATCCACCCCAGCGCCTCCTTCTGGTGGCCGAAGAGCTCGGATAGCACGACATCCCCGGGCGGGTCCATGGGCTGAATCTGGTTCTTCCCTTCCTTCTTCCACACAAGCGAGAAGAGCTTATCGACGTCCCGGTCGCCTTTCTTGGTCCGCTCCATGACCGCGGCGGCCTGGGAGAGGGCGAACTCGGGGTGGTCGGCGTGGATGAGGTCGAGGCCAGCCTCGTGGAGCGCGGCCTCGACGACGGCGGCGGCGGCGGGGCGCGCGAAGAGGTGGATCTGGCAGGGGAGGTTGTAGGCGTTGGGGTTGACCTTGGAGCCCGACCGGGGCACGATGCCCTGCGCCGCGGCGATGAGGTGGGAGTCGAGGAGCGGGGCGAGCACCTTCGCGAGTGTGCCCGGGAGGTGGCCGACCTGTTCGTTGCGAGCGTTGAAGACGGCGATGGCGTTGCTGTCGTACCGGTTGAGCGGCTCGCGGACCAGGCCGACGGTCTCGCGGCCGGAGATCTTGCCGTGGTAGTAGCGCATGCCGACGATCTTGGAGACGAGGAAGCCCAGGAGGTAGGGCTCGTCGTCGTCGTCGGCAGCCGCGGCGGCGCCGCGGGAAGAGGAGGCCGCCATGGCTGGTGACGGTGGGGGCCGCAGTGGGACGGAACAGGGGAGTGGGGGAGGGTTTGGGATTGGGTGGGGTTTGAAACTTTGAATAGGCGGCGCCGCGGCGGAAACGAAAGCCGGAAGGGGCGTTGCGCTCTCAAGATTGGGGAATTTTTACAGGAAGCGCTGGCGCCCCGACCTCGCATGGATACGCTTCCATCCGACGGTTTCGTGGACGCCCTCCTCCAGCGCACGCCGCACGTTATCAGCACGCCTTCCCGCGATGCGCGCAAGGAGCGGACTCGGTGGCGATGGTACGAGGCTGAGGCAGCAGCATGGACCGCCGCCATCGCCCTAAGATCGCGCGCCCATGCGAACTGCTGCTTGCTGCGTCTTCGTCGAATGAAGAGCTCCGCTAACACCGGCGAACCCGTGACCCGCGATGCCTACGAAGAGCCCCGCTAGCCTCTGTGCCGCACGAGTCCGCACGCCACCAGATCGCCCCCGAAGCCCGTCGCGTCCACCCCACGCCCGCGACGAGCATGCTGCATGCCCAGCGCCCCCTACGGCCACAGCACCCCGCGTTCGCCCGCCCCAGCACCTCCGTTCACTGGGCCCCGCGAACCACGCGTCCCTGTCTGTCCCGGCTCATCCCTCCCCGGCCGAACAACATAGAAAACTGGAATAAAACACGTGCAACAACACGGAAAACAACTACTGCAACATTAGCTAAAGCAGCTGAAACACCATGAACATATATATATATTGAAACAACAACGAACAACAGCTACAACATTAGGGATGAAGCAGTTGAAACACCATGAACATATTATTGCAACAACAAAAGAACAACAGCTGAAACATTAGGCTGAAGCAGCGGAAACACCATAAACATATTATTGCAACAACACGGAACAAACTGCTGCAACAATAGGTTGAATGAGCTGAAACATTTGGAACATATTATTGCAACAACACCGAACAAACTGCAGCAACAAATAGGTTGAAGGAGCTGAAACATTTGAAACATATTATTACAACACTGGTGTGAAGCATATGAAACAACACTCGAAATAAAAAACTTGCAACAACATGGAACAGTTACTGCAACATGAGATTGAAGCAACCGAAATATACTGTAACATCTCAAGCAGTACTACTGCAACATTGCAAAAACATCTATTGCAACAACGAAAAAAAAACATTGCAACATTCGAAATCATCTGTTGCAACATCAAAAAAACCATTATAACACGGCGAGATCTGACCCCCCCGAAAGCTCGCCGGAACCCTAGCCACCGCCGCATCCCTTAGATCCAGAGTAGGAGAAGGAGGAGCAGGATGGCTCAGATCTAGAGGAGGAGGAGGGAGGAGGGCTCAGATCCTGATCTAGAGGAGAAGGAGGAGGAGGAGCAATGCCTCAGATCCATATCCCTCCGTGACCTACCTCGTCGGAGCCGCCGCCGTCGTCCTCGTCTCCGGTGGGGTGCGGGAGCCAGGTCGCAGGGAGAGTGGGGTGCACGGAGGTCATGGAGGGTGAGGGACGGAGGGAGGAAGGGAGCACGAGCAGGAGTACAGCGAGGTCGCGTGCGGAGGGAGGGAGGTCACGGAGGGGTGAAGGACGGAGGAACGGAGGGAGGGAGGGAGCTCGCGCAGCGACGACGTGAAGAGCGGGCAGGAAAGCGGAGCGGAGAGCGAGTGTCAGGAGAGAGCGAGGGCGGGGGAACGGGCGGAGTGCGACTGGGAGAGAGCGATTGCGGGGCAGCGAGTGGAGCGGGTGAAGTGCGAGTGCAGGGGAAGCGGGTGAAGTGAAGTGGCATCAGGCGGGTGGATAAGACGAGGCGCGGTCAGTGAATCGGACGTACGCGCCGTAGCATTTCCGAATTTTTACTACTTCGATTCCATCTTGTAACAGTTGGCAAGCAAGGATTCCAAAAGTTTCGTACTTTGGAGATCTTTTTGGCTGCTTTTGTTAACTACTATAAAACTTGTCACAGTCGGCTATTATCGTTGTATAAGTATCGCACGTATCATGTGATATAATCCATCCGTCCCAAAATAAGTACGTGACTAGTATATTTCGAGAAGTCAACAAATTCTAAAGTTAACCAAGTATATATATAGAAAAAAAGTATTAATGATTGTGGGCTTAAACAAGCGTTATTAGATAAATCAAATGATATATTTTCATAGTAGACATAAAGACACAAACATTAATACTCATTCTAGTTTCCTAAAATAAGTCATTTTGGAAAAGGCCCGGATGAAACATTAGGAGTATAAATCATGAATAACTTTTAAGTTGTTGATTTTAAAAATATGAAAACCATATGAATAGATTTATCTTGAAGTGGGGATCGTTAGTTGATAGATCTGTTCCTAAAAAGGCATGACCTTAACTGTGCGCTATGCCTGAATCGGTTGTTTAGCCGATATTGAGCGCTTTCACGAACAATTCACATTACGAGATCATTGAAGTTGGGATAAGTTGAAAGATATGTTAGCCCCATGATCTTATTATTGTATTACGGTCTGCATGATTCTGCCTCATGCCCCACTGATATTAGTAATGAGTTAGGGTCGTCGAGTCTATTGTTGTTTCTACGGCCTACATGATTCTGTCTCATGCCCCACTGGTCATGGCGATAGATGAGATCTAACATGTTCATTAGATTTATCTTTATTAAATGGTTAAGTGGTGTTGAATTGTTTCTTTATATAAAAAGGGGTTCGGTTACTTGTAATCATTGACTCAGTTTAAACTAATCATCATTGATATTTTATTGCCATTGATTAAATTATTGTTCGAATTATATCTATCTTGCATGATAACCGATTCTTCTTGCACAACCCCATGAGCTTTAACCGATTTATTCTTATGAATATGTTGGAATCGACTATTTAGTCGATCTCCTCTTATATCAGCTCTCAGAGCCACATATTTGGGACTGTCTGGCAACAGCGGCATATTTCGCCCTTAATTACTGATAAGCTTTCTCTCCTTGTCAATTGTAGGGTCAAATTGACTGGCACGTCTCGGGAGGATTACGTAGGATTGACCACCCTTGCGCTGAAGTTAGGCGGATCTGCTCCATCGAGCGAATCCTTCCGGCTTGCTGCGTGTGTCCTCGGCATGAGACGAAAATTCTGTGTCGACAAGTTGCAGACATCCCTGGCGGACACCGAGGTGGCGCTCAAAGAGTCCTTGGAGGCTCTTGAGTCAGAGCAAAGCGCCTTGGGGTCGGAGCGGAACGCCCTAGAGTTGGCACGGAAGGCCCTGGAGTCGGAGCGGAAGGCCGAGTTGGAGGCAGACCGGGAAGTGCTCACGCTTTGAGGTCGGGTGATGGGGACGGAGGAGGCGAGTGCCCGGCTGCGTGAGCAGGTGGCTCGGCAGGCGGAGGAATTCTCCACCCTTGAGAACTTCCACGTCGGTACGTACCTCTTTTGTTTTTCGTCATGTTGGTTTCTTCCTTCAGCCTGTTTCTGAGCTCGTCGCCCTTCTTTTAGAGCTGGGCGGAAAGGTGAAGTCGCTGGAGCGGGACCTGAAGATAGTCAAGGCGACTTTTGGCTGAAATGCAGAGGAGCTGGCCAAGTCCCGTGAAGAGCGATGCACTCTCGAGGGGGAACTTGACCAGATCCGCAATGTCACCCAACTTGTCGTCTCGGAGGTCTTCGGGTCGGCGCCAAGCACTAGCGCGCCCGCGGTCTAGCTGGCGGAGGTTTTGGATGCGGTCCGGGACCTTATCACGAGCGGGCTATTCTACAGAGCGTCGGGGGTGTTGACTTCGGTGGCGACGCACCATCGGAACCTAGACTTCGCCACTATCTGCAGTGGGTACGCTGACGGTTTGAGCACGGAAGACATCCAATCGATCGGGGAGAGCTTGCTGCCGCACGCAAGGTTGGTGGCAGAGCAAGTCTCTGCTCAGTGGGTGATGGACGTCCGCCGTGAAGACATGACCAGAAGCGTGCATCGGGAGGACGTTGCCCAGCCTACGAATGGCACGAAGCCTGGGTTGGAGGTGGATGTCGCCCCGGCTTCGACCGAGCCGAATGTCGTGCCGCCGGGGAGTGAGCCGCCCATGCCTTCATCGGTCGCACCGACAGCAGATGCCGCCGAGCCACCCCAATAGCTTGTAAGATATAAGTAGTTTAGTAAACGTAAAAAGTTTAAGTTCGTGGGGGAGCCCCCGTGTAAACATTTCTTGTGTACTTAATGATTACAGTCGGTTCCGTTTTCTGTGATGGAGTCACTCCGTTTTCGGGGAAGCTTGTTCCTTTTGTTCCTTAGTTTTCCCTTAGCATAATTTTGTTTTTTATTCTTTCTTTCTCGTACCTGCCCATTTGTCCCATAGGCTGCAACTTTGGGAGCCCGGGGCATGGCCCGTGAGTCTCAGCTGCTCGTAACTGTAGGAAAAGGCGGGGTGCGACCGGTTGGAATGTTTTAAAGCAAAGCTACGTAAGGCAAATTAAAGAACGAACTACCCTTTTGTTTGGGTAGAAAGGAGTTTCACCATATGATAGTAAACGAAAAAGAGAGGTAGTAGTGTACCCTAGTGGAGCCCTCGAGCGCCCCAGGACCAAAAAGTGTTCGGGTCGGGGTGCTCTTATAGGAGCAAACACTTTGTAAACAGTGGTAAGACTAAAATTTAGGGGAAGAAAAATGACATAGCTGTTCCAAGCGTTTGGTGAGGATGTCGTTGTTGTCGCCCTTCAGTCGGTAGGCATCTGGTCGGATCACTTCAACCTTTAGTCGTCTGGATCCTTGTCTGTTACACCCCTTTTCTTGGCCGCTACTTCTTCTCCTTTTTCTTCCTTTGGCCCACCAGCCTGTCGCAGAAGGCGCTTGAGGAGCTCGCAGTCCTTGTAGAGGTGTTTGATGGGGTAGCCATGGTTGGTGCACGGGCTCTCCATGAGCTCGTGGAAGTGGCCGGAGGGTCCTGCTGAGGCTGCTTGCCCGTGTGATCAGCCGTGGTGACCAACGCGGAGTTGGTCGGTCGGCGGTGATCTTTTCTGTTCTTTTTCCC